GGCCAGAAGCGCCCCGTTCGTTCCCGATCCAGCGTTCCGTCCCAGGCCCCCCAGACGGGGTCCGGACCGGGCAGGTCGGGTCCAAGGACCGCGCCTCATGGCCCATGCATCGGCGACCTGCGGCTCGACGTGGAGCCCGAGTTTTTCTCCACGCCGACGTGCCCGATGTATCACCGACGCCTCGGCGATGCATCGACGACGCGGCGCGATCCTTCGACGCCATCTACAGGGTCCGGCTCGAATAAGGAACATTTGCTTTGCAGAAGGGGCTCGGTCGCTCCTTTGGCTTGCATGCGTTCCGCTACCTTCTTGGCGGCGAGCCCCCCTTGGTGTTCCTTCGGACTTCCTAGACTTACTCGGAACAAAAGGGGTTTCGTTCCTTAATTATCGTTCCTTAGATCAGGCCAGCGTGCCCGACGTATCGCCGACGCATCGGCGATGCATCGATGATGCGGCGCGATCCTTTGACGCCATCTATTCCCGATCACTTTCTTCGGGTGGAGGGCAAAGAGTGAAATCTGGAATGCCGCTTCAATTGGTCTTCGAGGCTCGACTCGGCAAAAGGTGAATCACGAGACGCATCGATTTTTTCGAGGCCCAAGAGCCCGTAAGGATGTCACCCTGAGCCCTCCAACCTCGGAAGATGCTCAGGACTCCGACGCCCAAACCATTGGCAGCATCCTCGTCCGGATGTGTCTCAGGAGGGGAAAACACACACAGACACAATTAATCGTCGATCCCCCCCAGGAAATATAGGCACATATGGGAATTGGGCGGGAAGACAAAAACCCAGAGAATATGGGACAACATGGGGAATTCTTTTATTTGTGTGTATTTGTTTGTGTGTCCTGGGGCCCCTTCCGTGTCGTCGTCCGGCCTTCGCCCCCGCCGGCCGCGGCACGGCTCGGGGGCTGCTGCCAGGTGGCCTGCTGCTGGGCCGGGCAGCGCGGGGCTCTCCTCGAGCTCGCCCTCGCGGAGATTTTGGGCGGCGCCGAATGCCATATGGGCTTCGATTGCCAGCCTCGAACGTAACCCGATCCCTAAGATTGACACGCCAAAAGGCGATGACAATCTTAGGGATTCGCCCTAAAAAATAAGGGAACCCCCAAGATTGGCATCGTGACGAGGAGATACCCAGCATAGGGATAGGGGTATGTTCCAGGCTGGTAATTCGAGTCTCGATCCTTCTCCTCGATAATCTCGATGCTCTCGATCCTCTCCTTGACGATCTCCTCGCTCCTCTCGATCCTCGCGATTCTCTCGATCCCAACGACGGGCGGAGCTCCTCCTCGATCCTCGATCCTCATAGGAAGCAGCTCCTGTGAGCTTCAGTTCGGCATCTTCGCTGGTACACCCGCCGTCGACAAGCAGCTGGCCAAGTCCAGCAGGATCCCGCCTCATCTGGCTGGATCCCGCTCAATCCGCCTCAAGTCGGCTCTCAATCTTGGGCCTGATTGTGGCCAATCCGGCTTACCGGCCCCTGAATCGCGCCCCGTTGCCCTGAATAGTTCTGTCGAAGACCTCCCAGTTGCATCCTAACCTTCCATCCCAGATCCTCCTCGATCCTCCTCGATCCTCGATCCTCCTCCTCCTCCCCCTCCTCCTCCTCGCCCTCCTTCCCCTCCCCCGCTCCTCGATCCCGCAGCTCTCTCCGGCCGCCGTTCGGGGCGATCTGGGCACCCGCGTGACCTCCCCCTCCTCCTCCTCCTCCTCCTCCTCCTCCTCCTCCTCCTTTTCCTCCTCCTCCTCCTCGCGGGGGAGGCGCGAGAGCGCGAAGTCGGTCGCGCCTCGTGCCTCGCGCAGCGCGGCGCGAGAAGTTTGGATCCCCTTTATGGAGATCGGCCACGCGCAGAGTGGGGAGGGGGAGGGGGGAAGGCTTCTTAGAAGCACCCTGCTTCGTAGAAGGCGCGGGCCTTGCCTTTAGATGGAAGGCCCGCGCCTTCAAAGAAGCAGCTTCCTTCTGTGAAGCCTCCCCCCTCCGATTACCTCCCTGTGCGCACACCGCCAAGAGCCTGCTTTTTTTTAAGGTCTTGGCGATGACGGCCGTGATTAGCCCTCTCCCTCCCCCCTCTCCCCCGGGTCACGTCACGCTGTTTCGCCCACATTTGCAGAGATCAGCTACGGTTTCCTCGGGGATGTCCGCAGAGTTCTGGCGGTCCCCCGCCGGGATGTGATCGGGGGGGCGAACTCCCCCCCTTCTCCGCCGCCTCCTCCTCCTTCTCCTCCTCCTCCTCCTCCTCCTCCTCCTCCTCGTACGCCTCCTCCTCCTCCTCCTTTTCCTCCTCCTCCTCCTCCTCTTCCTCCTCCTCCTCTTCCTCCTCCCTCCTCCTCCTCCTCCTCCCCCTCCTCCTCCCCCTCCTCCTCCTCCTCCTCCTCCTCCTCCTCCTCCTCCTCCTCCTCCTCCTCCTGGCTCCTCCTCGCTCCAAGGAGAGCCTGTCCCTGCTCGAGCTCCGCGACATCGCGCACGCGGCGGCCGTGTGCCGCGCGTGGCGCGCGGCTGGGCGCTCCAAGGCGCTGTGGGCGCTCGCGGGCCCCCGCCTGGGCCTGGCCGGCCGCTTCGTGCGCCGCGAGGAGCTATCGCGGCGCAGGCCCCCCCGGGGGCACGAGGCTCGGGCTGGACGACAGGGAGGGATTGGGAAAGGGGGGGGTACGAAATCTGCTGCATGCAGCTGGTTTCGGCCCCACCGAAGGGCCCATTCCTCGATACATAATCGCCTCCGGCGCCTGGAGGCGCCGGGAAAATCAGCTGCGTGAGCTGATTCTCAAGCCCCCCCGTTTGCTATCCCCCCCGTTCGCCCGACCCGACCCCCCCAGGGCACGAGGCGAGGCAGGGTTTTCGGGCTCGAGGCCCGGGGTCTTCGGGGTCGAGCTTCGCTGTCCTCCCTCGGGCGCTGTCGTGGTGTCTCCGCGGCGTCCTATGGCCTCGGGATGCCTGCCGTCAGCTGCGCCCCGCCGAGGGCCTTCCGGGGGTGCGGGCATCGTCTCGAATGTCCGCCGGAGAGCCGAGTTATGGCCGAGCCAGAGGCTGGCGGCAACAGCGCCGCTGACGACGACGATCAGATGAGGGCGAGTTGAGATCGGGGGCGGCAAAGCGGGGGGTGATGAGTGATGACCAGGGGGGGGGTGGATATCATGGCGGGGGCCATGATTTGTCCCCAGATTTCATGGCGCCTCTTCTTATTTCACTACGTCCCTGGCCCCCCCGCTGGGCCGCGCACATGCCGCCGGTCATGATTTGCACCCCCCCTCTTGGACACCCCCCTCTTGGCCGCTCCCGATTAGACAATTGTAGTTGGCTTTCGGGGGGCCCTTCGTCGGCAAGGCTGGGCGCAGCTCGGAAAGCTTGGATCGAAGAAGGACACATTGCAGAGGCATAAATTTTCGAAAAAACCGCGCGGATGGCTAGGATCGGTGCTGGGCCCCCTTGGCGACGCCTCCGGCGCCGCCACTGGCGCGCTCCGCGCGCCAGGGAGATGGTCCAGCGCAGATCCAAGAAATCCGCGCGGACCTGCGACAGTTTATGCTTATGCATGTTTGTTCTTTCTCTAGCGGAGCTGTCGCGGCGCATGTCCCCAAGGCACGAAGCGACGTTGGGATCGGCTCCTCTGGGGGCATCCGGGAGGGGACAATTTTTGGTCTGGGGGCGTAGAAGATCGAGTAGGGGATCGGCAACATAATCGATTTATCCCAACATTCATATGTTCCGCCGAGTGTACGGCGTGTACGTCGACAGCTCCATTGATCTACTGCGCATTCTATGCCAGTCTTTGTACACTGGGAGGGGAAGTTCAGCTTTGAGGTACATGAATCGATTCCGTAGCCGATCCCCTTCTCCAACGGACGGCAGAGGATGGCAGGCTAGTCCCCAGGGGGGGGTCAGACCTTCGGGGAGCCACGCTGTGAACGAGCCACGGCGTCGGATGTCTAGGGGGCCAGGAGGGAAGTTCAACTTTGAGGGATATGAATCGATTCTGTAGCCGATCGCCTTCTCCAACAGACAGCAGAGGATGGCAGGCTGGTCCCCGGGGGGGGTCAGACCTCCGGGGAGCCACGCTGTGAACGAGCCGCGGCGTCGGATGTCCGGGGGGCCAGGAGGGGCGCCGTTTACAAGAAGGCGGAGGGCGTCTTGGAGTGCACCAGCCCCTCAGATCGGGGGCGTCTAACCTCAGGAGGTCTGGAGTGTTGCCTCCACCCCCTTCTTGGGGCGGGGAACATGCTCGCCCCTCCTCCTCCGCCTGCTCCTCCTGCTCCTCCTGCTCCTCCCGCTCCTCTCCACTCCTCCTCCTGCTCCTGCTCCTCCTCCTGCGCCTGCGTAAGGGGGGGGTGAGGACTACAGTCAACCCGCATACTAAGGATTATCGACTTTCCCAGGTTGCCCTTGCATCCTTCCCCGTCGGCCCATCCTTGGCCGCTCTCACCAGCCGCGCCCCGCTCGCAGAGTGTCGACATGGCCCTCCAAGGCCCTTGCATCCTTATCGCGCAATCTTACTCTACGGGTTGACTGATCCTTGGCCGCTTTCGCTGGCCGCGCCTCGCTCGCAAAGTGTCGACATGGCCTTCCAAGGCCCTTGTATCCTTACCGTGCATCCTTATTCTACGGGTTGACTGTAGGGGGTGAGATGTCGTCAACCACAGCACTATATACACGGACACCCTCCAATGGATTGTTCCTTGTTCCTGGCCCTGCGCCTCAGGGAATGGGTGGCGGTGTGTAAATCACTACTGAGGGCTAGCGACTTATGCACCGCCGCCGTTCTTGTTGTTACATGCAAGGTTCGTCAAAGGGTGTCTGAGTGTAAATTTGTTTCGTGGCGTGATGCCACCCGAGCCACGGTAGCTCCCAGATTTTACAGCCCCTTGCCTTTCCTAAGACTGCGCTTTGGAGTTTTCTCTTCGCAGACCCAGGCCCAGTTCTGTCGCCGACGGTGGGAATTTTACCCAGTACTGGCGCTTTTTTCGTCGAGTTCGACCTCTGGGGGCACGTTGTTCGACCCGAGGTCATGCAACCTTTCTTCGAGCTGTGGGCGTGGCAGTACGACGGGCGTGTTGTAGGAGGAGGAAGAAAACGGAGAGGAGGACAACTATGAATAAGACGCATAATAATAAGAGGAGGAGGAGGAGCAGCAGGAGGAGGAGGAGGATGGGGACCAGGAGGAGGAGGAGGAGGAGGAGGAGGAGGAGGAGGAGGAGACGGAGGAGGAGAAGGAGGAGAAGGAGGAGGGGAAGGATGGGAGAGGAGGAGGAGGAGGAGGAAGGAGGAGGAGGAGGATGAGGAGGGTCGTTGACAAGAGGAGGAGGGGAGGAGGAGGAGGAGGGAGGGGGATGGGGAGGGGAGAGGAGGAGGAGGATGAGGAGGAGGAGGAGGGGAGGAGGAGGAGGAGGAGGAGGAGGAGGAGGAGGGAAGTAGGAGGAGGATGAGGAGGATGAGATGATCTGGAGGAGGAGGGGGGGATGAGGAGGAGGAGTAAGTAGTAGGTGGAGGGGGACGGGGAGGGGGAGGGAGAGGGGGGGGGGGAGGAGGAGGAGGAGGATGAGGAGGAGGAGGAGGAAGAGGAGGAGGAGGAGGAGGACGAGGACGAGGAAGAGGAGGAGGCGGATACGGCAGCGTCCAGGCCATATTGCAGCGTCCAGTCCATATTGCAGGGTCTAGTCCATGCTGCCAGCCGCTCCAGGCCATACGGCAGCGTCCAGTCCACCTCCATAGTCTTACCTCACCTCCAGCCTACAGCACCCGCTGTCTGCACCTGCTCCGCTACGTTCGCAGGTATGGGCTCGGGGGAGGGGGTTGAGGCTTTTTCTTGCGCGCCAGCCACGCAGAAGTACAGCCGCAGCCACATGACTGCACACTTGCTAAGATACGCGCCTTTCGTGCCAGCCGCACGCCTCTTCTGACAGCCAGTTCTTGTGGGCAGCAGCGCTTATGCTGTCTGCCCCACGCCCTTCTGCCAGCCGCTCCAGGCCATACTGCAGCGTCCAGTCCACCTCCATTGTATTACTGCACCTCCAGACTACTGCACCCACTGGTAGCACCTGCTCCGTTACGCCGCAGTTATGGACTTGGGGGTAGGGAAGTTGTTTGCATTATCGCGCGGTGGGAAAGTTTTACTATTACACACGGGTCACAGCCCAGCCGTGCATTGTTCTTGCCACAAGGCAGCAGCTCCAGGATCATGTTGACGTCTCCTGTCCTCCCCCTCCCTTTCGGGACCCCCCTGACACGCAGGATGTGGTTCCTCCAGGCTCTTCCTTACCTTGTCTCAGCTTCAACTACATTTACCGACCCTCACCTTGCACCAGCGAATCTCACCCCAGCCTGCTCAGCACCTTTGGCGATGATGCGCAGCTTTTTTATCAGCAGCCCTTTTGCCCAGACTCACACCGTATGTATTGCAACGGGCTGTCGCGACACTTGCTCCTGCATAGATGTCCTCGCACTGTTGGCCTGGCCACCTTAGTGATCGAGCGCAAGAAGGGTAGCAACTCCAGGATTGCACCGTTGCGAAGACTAGCACCTCTGCTCCAGCCGCACGTCTTTCCTGCCAGCCAGCTCTTGTGTTACAGTGGGGCAGCTGCGCTTATAGTGCTTGCCCCATACCCCTCTGCCAGCTGCTCTAAGCCATAGTGCGACGTCCAGTCCTCCTCCACTAGTATTTCTCTGCCCTTCCAACCTTCTGCACCCACTGTGAGCACCTGCTCCCTTATGTTTGCAGATACGGTATACGGACTTGGGGGGTGGGTTGGCATGAGCTCTCGGGTTCGGGAGGGAGCGTTTCTTCGGTCAAGGGCATAACAAAACGCCGCTACCCTGGTTTACGAGGCGTTGTGCGCTGAAACTCCTGTGGGCTGACAGGGTAAACCCTGCGTGATGTGCCGCGTCCTGGCGGCTCTAGGCTTTGGGAGTTCCCAGGAGGTTTACAGACCACGCACTGGTAACCCAGGGTAGGGCCGATTTTCATCCCTCAATTAGGAAAACAAGCGTTGCAGCCTAAGGATTGCATACTTTAGCCAGCCGTACACTGCCCCTGTCGGTTTTTCTCTCGCTTGCCGTGCGGGTAGCAGCCCCAGTGCTGCGCACGGCCAGCCAGCACACTCACTTACTTACCTTCAGCCTCCACCTGGCGGGCGCCCACTCCGGGTTCCCCCCGCTTGGCCGCATGTTTTTTGTGCCCCCCAAGTTCCGCGGCGCGTGCCGGGTGCTGTATCTCTGCGCCACGTCGGTCTACATCACATTTTCACGCACGCCACAGACCTCGGATGAGGTTAGCCAAGCATACAATGAGGAGGAGGAGGAGGAGGAGGAGGAGGAGGAGGAGGAGGAGGAGGAGGAGGAGGAGGAGGAGGAGGAGGAGGAGGAGGAGGAGGAGGAGGAGGAGGAGGAGGAGGGGCAGGATGTCCGCTGGCCCCCCCTCTCCCCCTGGCGAGGCGGGGGCGGAGGGGTGTGGGGGGGGCGGGGCTCTGCGCCGCGGGAGCGCACAGGGCGCGCGGTCCATCAGAAAGTCTGCGCGCTCGCAGTGTTGACACATCCTGGGCGGCCAGATCAGCCCAATCGCGTCGGTGTCGGGACTCCTCGCGTCGACTACACGTAAGAGTGACCTTTCGCCAGAGTGACCTTTGGTGCGGGCCCACCGGGATCCCCAGGTCGCCGAACGCGACGCGATAGCAGCGTCTGGCGCGCTTGTGTTTGGGCCCCCCACAAGCCGCTCACCCAGGGTCACTCCTACCACGGGTCTCTCCTGCGTGTAGCTGATCGCGTCGGCGTCGGGGCTCAGGCGTCGGGGGTCAATCGGATGCGAACAGGGGTCAGCCACAGCGCCGACTCTTCCAGGATCCTGCAGAGCCAGGGCTGCACGACCCGGGCCTGGATTGACCCGGGTCAGCAGATCCCCGACGGTGCTCCGGCTTCCTCGCGTCGTTTTGAAAGCGGTGCAAGGCACCGAGCCCTTGTTGGAGCCCCGTTCCTTCGACCGGCCGCCCCGATCGCCAAGGCGAGTCCGCGCGGGCGGAGTCTCGAGGAGCACCGCGGGGGCCTGCCGCCCCAAAGAACAGCGGGACGCACGCCGAGCCGAGGCACCGCCGAGCCCCTTCCGCCCCTCGATGTGGGCCTTGTCCCAAGTCCCAGCAAGTGGCCCGCAGTCCACGACGCGAGGGTCTGGGCAAGTTCGAGGCCCCCTGGCGTCGTGGAGGAGCGACGCCGCGAGAGAGCTCGGCGCCGGAGGTCCGTGCCCTGCCCCCCGCCGGGCCGCAGGTCCCGCGGCGTGGTCTCGCGCGGCACGCTGCTGGGCGAGCTGCCGCAGCAGGCCTCGGGGGCGGGACGCGTGCCCTTCCCTCCCGTCTTTCCCTTCCGTCCTTCTCTTCCATCTTTCCTTCCTCTTCCTCCTCTCCAGCTGCGGAGTTCGTTCGGCTTGCGTTTTCTCCTCCTGCTCCCTGGCGGCGGAATTCGTTCGGCTTGCGTCTCCTTCTCCCTTCGCTCAGTTTAGTCTGACCAGTTGTCTTCCTCTCCTCCTCACTCATCCTCTCCCCTCCCTGCGACGTCGCGCTCCGAAGCGATCACTCTCCGAAGCCACAGCGCTGGAGTAGAAGTAGACTGTGAATATTCCTGTTCACGTAGTACCTTGTTGGTAGCAGGTAGCGCTGTAGACGAAGAGGTTCGCGTGTCCAAGAAGGAACAAGGGAATCCCCGTGGTGCCCCTTGTGAGCCTCGGGGGCCATCCTGGGACCATCTTCGAGGAGATCGGTCAGAAGAGGGGGGCTCCTTAATTCGAGTCCCCACAGCAGGAGGCCAACATGTGGCCAAGACCTGGATCACATCAGTCATATGTTTGGCCTTCTCGCCGAGGCCTCTTGGGGCGTCTTGGTTGCCTGTTGGTGGTCTATTGGGAGCCTCTTGGGGGCATTTTGGGGGCCCCTGAAGGCAATTTTGGGGGCATCTTGGGGGCAGCTTGGAGCCTTCTGGGCGCCTTATAGGGCCCTCTTGGGGCACTCTTGGGAGCCTCGGAGCCTTTCTCGGGGGGGAGGTGATCGATTAAAGACGGGGGAGGTTCCGATTAGCACCCCTCCCAGGAGGCCACGTGGCCAGGCCAAAGCCTCAGTAGAACCATTGATTCTGGCTTCCTCGCCGAGGCCATCTTGGACGCTCCAACTGCTCGCGGACCCCCCTGTCCAGACCCAGTGGGAGGGGATGTGGGAGAGGAAAAAGAGGAAACTTCCTAAACCACTTACGCCCTAAAGGGCTGGTGGGATTATGTGGCACCCCGGAGTTGCGGATACGAGTGAGGGGGCGGGCGCGGGGTGGGTCACGGGTGGGTCGCGGGCGAGTCGCGGGCGGGTCGCGGGCGGGTCGCGGGCGGGTCGTGGGGTGGGTCGCGGGTTGGGTCGCGGGTGTGCCGCGGGTGGGTTGCGGGTGGGTAGCGGGCCGGGTCGCGGGTGGGACGACGACAACAAACAACAAACAACACAACAAACAACAGCAACAACCAGCAACAACAGCAAAACCGACAACAACCACAACGACAGCAACAACCACAACACCAACAACGACAACAACATCAACAACGACACCACCACCACCATCAACAACAACAGCTATAACAACAACCACACCAACCACAACAATAACAACCACAACAGCATCAACAACAGCAACACCACCGCCAACAACAACAATACCAACCACAACGATAGCAACAACGACAACAGCAAACAAAACAGCAACAGCAGCAATAGCAATATCAGTCCGCACCGCGGAAGCCCACCTCAGCCACGTACCCAGGGACAGTGAATGACGGTTCGGGCCTCTCACTCTGACATGGTAGGTTCGGGCGTACGCATCCACGGGGGTTGTTCAGCACCAGCATGTCCCTGTGCGCCCAACCTCGAGCTCCTCGAGTCGCGGCGCTGGCGCGCCAGGTCACGCTGCGCACGGTGGACCTCGCCGGCGCCAATGCCGGCGCCGACGACGGGCTGCTGCCGAGCGTGGTGCGGGAGATCTCGCTGCTGCGCTCCCTGAGCGCCTACGGGCATGAGGCTTGGACCAGTTTTTGCTTATCCCCTGGCAATAGCGGCCGTTACTTGGGGGAGGGGCGGGGCGAGTGGCTGGGGACGTCACGATTCGTACCAGCGGAACTGGAATTCCGAACCAGCGCCAGCGTGAACGGTGACATCACCAGGTGAGTGAGGGGGGTCTCCCCGGTAACGTCCGCTGTCGAGGTGTCCCCGGTAACATGCTCCTGGGGGTCACGAGGTGATCTTTTTGTTATTCATTGTTTTGCTTATCGGCGCGGGCCCTCGCACCCCCCGTCCCCCCCCCCTCGTGGAGTAGATCTTGTCTGTTTTTGGCGCCTGTTTCGAGCAGGTGGGGTCTCCCCCATTGGACGCGCTGCTGCAAACAGTCGCGCTAAGCAGAGGTCCTAAGCCAGGCCCCCCCCTCTTCGCTCGATGCCGAAACGCCGAGTAAGAAAACGCTCACGCGGCCCAGCGCCAGTTCCGGCCATCAGGAATGCCTATGGTTAAGTCGGGGAGTGTCCCACTACAGGGGGAATATCCCAAAATACTATTTAGACAGTCTGCGGACGATTCTTTTGACTATTTCTGATTTCTGACCATTTTGGGGTATTTTTTGCGTATTTTAGATTTTTCGTCCAAGCTCCACCTTTAGGAGGACATGCCCGACCTAAGCTTATGGGTTCGGGGAGGGGCCATAGGGTGAAGTCGGGCCTATCCCTCTACAGGAGGAATGTTCAAAAGTAGTCAAAGGATAGTCTGGGGACGAGTTTTTTATAGATTTGTTTTGAAATTTATTGGCGCATTGAGTATTTTTAATTGTTCGTCACAGCTCCGCTAGTAGGGGGACATGCCCGACCTCTGCCTGTGGGTTCGGGGAGGGGCCTCAGGGTTAAGTCGGGCCTGTCCCTCTACGTGACGATGTTTTGAAGATGCTTGGATTTATGTTTGATGATTTATGTTTTAGGTTTTTTTAGATTTCGTCCAACATCGGCCTGTAGGGGCGACGTGCCCAACCTCACTGTGAGGGCTCGAGGCCCTGGGGCGAGGCTTTCGCTTGGGGCTCCTGTGCGGCCTCCCTCGGGGCCGCCTCCCCGGCCCCCCCCGGGGGAGCGCGAGGCAGTGCGAGAAGCGCGGAGGCCGTGAGCTCGGCATCGCTCGGACGTGTGCATTTTCCCTTCGGCGAGGACCATCGAGGAGCATCCTTGATCATTTCGCGAAAAAACCACGCACGACACAGAAAAAAGCACAGGAAATGGACGTCCGAGCGATGGCCAGTGAGGGCAGCCCGCACCAGGAGGGCCTCGGGAGGGATCCAGGGACTGGTTTCGGTCGGGCGTGTCCCCCTTGCAGGGGGATTGTGGACGAAGACTTCAGAACAGCCAAACAACAGACAAATATGGCCAAGCAGATGGTCAAAAACTGGTTCCCATGCTGTTTTGTGTGTTGTGACTACTTTTGGACGTTCCTCCTGTTCTCCTGCAGAGGGACAGGCCCGACTTCAGGATGGGTTTGGAGCGGACTTGTCATCCCCCCCTCTTGTCCGACCGTCTGGGCCCCCTCGAGTTCAGTGATCAGCGGGAAGCCGACCCCAGCCCCCCCATGACAGTGGATTTTGCAGGTCAACATTTTGCGATGATGGCGAGTGTGCGCACGTGTAGGCGCCCTGCAAGCGAGGCCATTCTCAGCTGCCGCAGGGGCGGGGGGCGGGCCCGCGCGCGCGGTCTAGTTGGCCCAAAGCTCCTCGTGTGGGGGGTGGCGGGGGCAGGCCAGCCACAAGTGGGGAAGCTGCGGTCCGTACCCCCCTGGGGGACCCATCGATCTCGACATCCCTCTCGAGACATCGTCCATGCGATGGGTTCCCCCCATTGGGGTAAGGACCGCAGCCCCCCCAGTTATGGCTGGTCGAGGGGGGCGGCTTTCGCGCGTTCGTCCAGACGCCCCCAGCGCGAGGGCATCGTGCGGCTGATCGGCGTGGAGGTCCTCGGCGAGAAGGCCCATCGGCCGCCGCCCGCCGCCCCGCCCGCACGGGTCTGCGGCAGGCTCGCGTCGTGGCGGCGCAGCGGGTCGTCTGGCGTCACCGCCCCCCGGGATCCCCTCTCGCGGCGGGGCGCTCTGCGGCCGAGGCCGAGTAGTGCAGCCGAGACGCTGAAGCAGGGAAGGGGAGATGGGGGGGGGGTCGAAGGCGGGGCGATCAACACGTGACGGGCCTGTTTTCCACCACCACTGCCAGAAGTTGGAGGAGGGAAGGAGGAGGAGGAGGAGGAGGAGGAGGAGGAGGCGCAGGAGGAGGAGGAGGAGGAGGAGGAGGAGGCGGAGCACCCCCTCCCCCTCCAACTTATGGTGGTGGTGGTGGAAAACAGGCCCATCAAAACTCGATGATCCTCAGGACGTGTGTTGGCCGAATGTGTGTTTACCCCGTTCAACCTGACCAGTCGATCATCGCATCGCCTTCGTCGTAATGAAGGGCCTCAGTGGGCAAACGCACGTCGGCGCTGACACACGTTCTGAGGATCATCGAACAACGAGAGCCCGCGTAAGATTCACCGCGTAAGGTTGCTGTGGCATCTTGCTGAGGGCCCGCTGCTTCTCGTTGCCCCCCACGGGTGTCGCCCAGGGGGCGGGGGGGCGTCGGCCAGGGCGAGCAGCACGAGGGCGGGACGGTTGGCGGTCCGCCCGAGACAGCTGCAACGAAGCACCCTTTCTCTCTCTCTCTCTCTCTCTCTACATATATATATACCTGATGTCGTTGGCCCTCCCAAGTTAGGTCCCCTCCCAAAGGATCAGGGGTACCTTGGACTGCTTATCAAGGGAGGGGGGTGGCGGGCAAAGGGGAGGGGGGGCGCGAAGGCGAGGCGAGCAGAGCGAGGGCAGGGAAGGCGGCCCCCTCAGGTCCGACGAGGAGTCTCCTGCCTACAGAGCCGCCCCTGTCCCTGATGGTGTTGGCCCTCCCAACGTGTGGGTCCCCCACCAACGGATCATGGGCACCTTCCTTGCTGATAGGCGACGGCGAGTCAAACGAGGGGAAGGAGGCCCCCTCCGGCCCGCCTCGCCGCTGGGCCTCAGTGCTTCGGTGCACGCTGGAGGAGGAGGAAGAAGAGGAGGCATAGGAGGAGGAGGAGGAGGAGGAGGAGGAGGAGGAGGAGGAGGAGGAGGAGGAGGAGGATGAGGAGGAGGAGGAGGAGGAGGAGGAGGATGAGGCGGTGGAGGAGGAGGCGGAGGTGGAGGAGGATGCGGAGGAGGCGGAGGAGGCGGAGGAGGAGGAGGAGTGGAGTGGAGTGGAGTGGACGCCATCACGAGGTGATATCCAGGGTCACTTGCCACCCGATACTCGAGCTGCCTGTTGAGCTCGGGTGAGCGCCTTAGGCCACAAACCACGCTTCAACCGTTTGAGATATTCTCTTCGGGTGGGGTTCAGCAGCCCAGTGCAAGACGCTTTGAGATTTTCAGAAAGGAGCTCGTTACAGAAGAAGCCACACGATGTGCAATGCTACACCCCCAGATTGACGTGAAAGGCCATCTTATGAGACAGCCCCACCCAGCCCCCACAAAGATGCAAGGGTTGACCAGCGGGCAGATGCAAGACACCTGGGCTCCTAGGAACGAGTTCAAAACAAGGGGACGATCGCCACTCAGTGGCAGTGTCGACCGAGGCAGACCCCCGACACCGAAGACAACAGCGGCCATTCGGCCCGAGGCGGTGGGAAGTGTGGAAAACAGACAGAGCAGCAAGAGAGGGAGGGGGAGGGAGGGGAGGCGGCAGGGGCGGCTCCACGACGTCCCCGTCCTGGGGGCCGCCACCACCGCGTCGTGCGCCGCGAGGCCGCGGCCGCTGTGCCTGAGAGTCCGAGCTGAAAACCTCCAGGGCGACACGCAACAAACGATGACGGACGAGTAGGGCATCCCTTTCAACTCGCACCACGCGAGCTCGATGAGAGCTGTCCAGTCGGCATCTTTTTGCGGCCATCCCTGCGAGCTCGTCGGCAACTATGTTGCCAACTGCCAGGAACCTCGGAACATTCTTCTGGATGATCTGAGCGGGGGAGAGGTGGGAGTCGACCTTGAGGACGGAGAGAAGTGACGTGTCACGCCTCGTGCTCTGAATAATCGAACGCACCATATCCCAATCCACCATATTATCCCCTGAGGGCCTATCGTAAAGCCCACTGTACCAACCATCGAAAACACCCGAAGCGTCCGTGACGTAGATCACGGGGCCTCCGGAGTGCTGAAGGGCCAGCATGAGCCCATGGAGTTCACCTCGAGGAACCGTTTGCTTCCGTCCAGGGAGAGGGCCTAAAACTCCAGCTCGGACCACGGGGGGATCGTACGATGCTAAAGTAACAGCAGCAACTCCAACTCGGCGAAAAGCAGGCTCCCGAGCGTCAGGACCTCCAGAGGCATCTCCGAAAATGACGACAGGGTCTCCGATGTACCCTACACCCAAGGTGGTGTCGTTCAATTCGGGCGGCTCGTTGCCTCCAACTGTGGCCCAATCGGGATCAGAGCTGGCTGGAGGTACTGCCGTCCACGCTCGCGGGATGAGCCCACGAAACCAAAAGCAAGCCTCGCTGTCGCCACAAGACACAGCACGAGGTACTACACAATCAGACTGCTTGAAAGCTTTGTGCTCGGCATTGTTGCAGCGACAAAGTCAGATCCGATGCAGTGGCGTCTCGGGTTGTTCCTTACACCTCGGACATTCAGGGCTGACACGATGTCCAGTTTCGTCGACCACTCTCTGCCGAGGCCAAAAACCCCCTGTCGCCACATTGATCATTGTCTCTGCTAAACGATGCCCGTGTTTACTGTTCTGAAGGCCCCGAATAAAACGCCGATAACTAGTGTTGTCAATCCCATTGGCGGAACCCTCACCACAGTAATGCCGAGCGGCCTTCGCCCACGCAGCATCTTGAAACGCTTGTTGAAACTCGTCTAGTACTTCAGATATGTCTCCCAAACCAGTGAGACCATTGTCGGGGAAAATCCAATGAGCGCCTTCGTCACCTGGGGTGGTCCACTCTGTGGGGGACGTGGGGGTCCACCCTACCTCGAGCATGTACCCAATAAGGGCTCCCATGGGCCCACGAACCTGACGAGAGAACTGAGACGGAACAATATTCTGAAGGCATCTAACAACTTGAGGCCAAGCCTGACGGACCATCGGACGAAGATCGGGAACGCTAAACCACGTGTCGAGCCAGAGCTTCATGGTGTCCCTGGGAAACTTCACGAACGGGTCAGCTCCTGGGGACTTCAAATCCAACAATGTTGTCAGACAGCGGCCTTTCTGCTTGGAGCCCATGGATGCACCCAGCCTGCGCCGAACACCGACACGATGAGAACCAAAATCACCGTGAACCTGATGTCCATATGAGCCCGCAGCTTGGGCCCCTGCTCGTTCCAGGCGCCCAGCAATCTGGTACGACGAGAAGCACGAGCAAACTTCCTGGAGGAGGAGGAGGAGGAGGAGGAGGAGGAGGAGTTGGAGTTGGAGGAGGAGGAGAAGCATCGGGAGGAGGAGGAGGAGGAGGAGGAGGAGGAGGAGGAAGAGGAGGAGGAGGAGGAGGAGGAGGAGGAGGAGGAGGAGGAACCCCACCCCCTCATCGCGCTCCCTCCCCCTCCAGGTGCACATCGTCACCGAGCACCTCGCCTCCTCCTTCGCCGCGTGGTTCCTTGTGCTGGGCGGGGATCCTCCTCTCTCCTCGTCCTCCCTCCACCTTCCTCCTCGACCTTCTCACCACCGCTGGCCCCTCGGGGGAACATGAGGAGGAAGAGGTAAGACTGGAGGACGAACTGGACGATAAGGAAGAGGGAAGCCATGGTGAGGGAGTGGGAGGGATGGTGAGAGAGGATGAGCCAGGAGGAGGACGAGGAGGATGAAGGAGAAGGAGGAGGAAAAGGAGGAGGAGGATGAGGAGGGACGCGTCGGGCAGATGACAGAACGCGTTTTCTTCAGCATGCCCGTCGATGTCAAAGTAATGACATGAGGAAATGCTGGAGAGGTGATATGAGCAGGGATGACGAGGGCAAACGAGGGGGGAGGACAGAGTGGGACAAAGGTGGCAGGAGGAGGATGAGGGATACGAATGATGATAAATGATAAAGGCGGGAGGAGGCGGGAGGATGGGATAGGATGAACGAGGGAGGTGGTGGAGAACGAATGAGAATAATGGGACGGCAGACGCAGGAGGCAGGTGGAAGAGGAGGAGGAGGAGAAAGAGGAGGAGGAGGAGGAGGAGGAGAAGGAGGAGGAGGTGTAGAGAAGGTGGAGGAGGAGGAGGAGGAGGAGGAGGAGGAGGAGGAGGAGGAGGAGGAGGAGGAGGAGGAGGAGGAGGAGGAGGGAGGAGGAGGAGGAGGAGGAGGAGGAGGAGGAGGAGGAGGAAGGAGGAGGAGGCGGAAGAGGATGAGGAGGAGGAGGAGTCCTCGAGGGTCCTAAGAGGGTCCTGAGAGGCCTCGAGGGTGACAATTGGAATTGTTCCTCGAGGGTCCTACGAGGCCCCGACAGTTGGCTTGGCATCGCTCGGACGTGTGCGTGTTTCCTTCGGCGAGGGCCCTCGAGGAGCATCCTCGACCATTTGGCGAACAAGCCACGCACGAGACCGGCAAAAAGCACAGGGAGTGGACGTCCGAGCGATGGCGAGCTGGGTGAGGCCTCTCGGGACCCTCTCGGTGGCCCCTTGGGGGCCCCATCGGGCGGGGGCCTCCGGGCTCCCCGGGGGGCCCCTCGCGGGCCTCTCGGGGGCCTCTTCTCGGGGGCCTCTCGGGGCCTCCACGGGAGCCTCTCTCGGGGCCGCAGGCTCGAGCTGTCCGTTCGGGTCCCCCGTCTGGGCTCGCTCCTGGAGCCGTCTTGGGGGCCCCTGGGGTCGCCTTGGAGGCGCGCGCTTCGGGCTGCCTGTGGGGCCCTCTGGGGCCGTTTCGGGGCTCTTTTGGGGGCCTCTTGGGCCGTCTTGGGGCGATCTTGGGGGCCCGTTCGGCCGTCTTGGAGCGGCGGGAAGCGGAGAAAGCGAGAACACCCAAATCTTTCAAACGTTGAAGGCACAACAGAGAATTTTGCTTCTTGGGGCCCTCTCGGGAGTGCTCTTGGAGGCCTGTTGGATCGTCTTGGAAGTCTCATGGGCAGCCTAGAGGGCGTGAAAGCGTTGGGACCGATAGTTTGGCGATTGGGGGCCCTCTTGTGCCGTCTCGTTGACCTCTTGGACCACTCTCGGCCTGTCTTGGTACTTTTTGTGGCCCCGGGATTCCTAGGGGGGGATGCGTATCTGACCAGGGAGCCCCCCCCCCCGGGAGATGCGTATCTGACCCAGGACCGCCCCCCCGACGGGGGAGGCATCAGAGGGAAGGGGCTTCCTCGATTCGATTACGACATTGCTAGTTTTCTTCTGTCGCTGACAGGCGTGAGGAGAAGGGTGCAGGGAAAGGGGACGACGGTGACGACGACTGACGGAGACGAAGACTTGAACAGACAGACCCTCGCACACGCCGACAGGGTCGGCGGATTTTTCGGCCTTTGGGGGCCCTTACTGTACCTCGGGACAGTCAAACAACGACTCAGGATGCAAAACCGGTCCCTAGGAATAGTTCAAGACCTTTGGGGGTCGACGTTCTGAACAAATCATTACGTCGGGGGTCTGGGTTCAGAGCTCCGAGTCCTCATAGCTTGGGGTGGCCAGTGGTAACTGCAGGTTCGTGCCTCGCGGGCTCAATCCGGAGTTAATTACCTCAGACCAGAGTCCACACTGAGAATTCGGACGTCAGCCTTGGCATCGCTCGGACGTGGGCACTTTTCCTTCGGCGAGGACCATCGAGGAGCATCCTCGATCATTTGGCGAGAACGCCACGCACGAAACCGAAGCAAAAACACAGGGAGTGGACGCCCGAGCGGTGGCAGGCAGCCGCTCCCGAGTCATCGGGGCTGGGGGCAGCCAGGGCTGGCTGCCGGTTCGCGCGTCGGCGGCCCAGGCCGGAGGGAGCGACCCCGGGCCCGAGCTATCCTGGAGAGTCCGGGCACCCATCGCACGTGTGGGATCAACGGCACCGTAACGGGTACTTACTAACGGGTACTTTGAATTTTTGCCGAAAGTTGCCACTTTAGGGCCTTTTTCTTGCATTGCAGCTTTGCCCACATCGGGAAGGGTTGGGTTCGCTGGGTCACTGGCCAAAGTACCCGTTTGTGGAGTCCCCGTTTGAGGGGCGCTGATGGGAAGGTTTCATCGTGAGGCGCCGTCTCGTAGGCATATTCGAACTGGTACTCCTGGCACCATCGCGTCTGCATCCACCGGCGGCGCGCAGAGGGGGCAGGGGGAGGGAGGAAGGCTTCTTGGAAGGAGGCTGCTTCTTAGAAGGCGCCGGCCTTACATTTGTAGACAAGGCCCGCGCCTTCTAAGAAGCAGGGGTGCTTCTAAGAAGCCTTCCCCCCTCCCCATACCCTCCTGTGCGCGCCGCCAAATTCAGCAACAGATCGATGCCGCAGCCCATTTTGGGTTCTGGCTTGAGTCCGCCAAGGACGACGGCGCTACTGAACTGCACCTACGGTTTTGGAGCAAAGTTCACTTGGACTCTTCGCCAGAGTTCAGATGAGGAAAAGGATGACCGCTGCCCTTACCTCGTATTTTGCCTTCCGTGGCCGCCTGGGAGGCCCTCGCCGCCACCGCCAGATTCGCCTGGAAGTCCTGGCCAGGCCGCACCCCAGGAGAGGTCCGGGGAGTAGCGGTATATCGGTGCCCATTGGCTTCAGCAGCAGTGGCCTTTTGGTGCGGGCCCACGGGGCTCTTCCCCGGCACTGGCCTGCGCGCTTGGATCGGGAGCCTTGAGGCGGGGGTCAGTGCAAACGGGGCTCAGCCAGGACACCGGATCCTGCCGGATCCTGCGAAGATCCCCTCTGGCCGACCCGGGTTAGCGAGCCGCTCGTGGCCGCGAGGCGGCCGCGCAGATTGGCTGACCCGGGTTTGCGAAGGCTTGCGTTGCAGTTTAATGTTCCTGCCTTGCAGTTCTTTGGTTTCCTGCTGACCTGGGTCCGGATTGACCCGGGTCAGGAGATCCCCGATGGAATTGGTCCACCCGCGGCCTCCTAAATCCACATGCCGAAGGTCGTTTTTTTTCACGGGTTGCTCTTCTGAGTGAGCGAACACCGTGTGGTCAGCCAGAGGGGACTCGGGGTGACCGCCCCTTGGATTCGGGTCGCTCTCCGAGGTTGTCTCGGGCGGTTGGGGCCTCCAAGATCCCCGAGACGGTGCGGCGACGGACGGTGCGGCGAGAGTCCTTCGGATTTCGAGGTGGCAGCACGGTCTGTCACCGCACTGTTGTGGGACCTCCAAGGTGGAGGTCGCGCAAGATCGCGTGGCTCACGCGGTGACAGAACCCAGAGCCCATACCATCGGTGCCATCGTGCAGCTTGCCGTGCATAGACATCCGAGTTCGTGGTTTGTTCAGAGCGCGGATCCCTAGAGGGCCAAACGAGGGCCCCTGGTGGGCGAAAATTTTCGTACCCCATTCCATCGCGAAATAATCGCGCCGCGAGGGTGACTGGGTACCCTGAGATCCGACGTTGAGAAACGAATTACATCATCACACAACATCGCGACAGGAACCCTAGACCCTATCTTTCTGCGGCGTTCTCGAGCCCGATCGATGTGTGAGGGTCTTGGGGTCTGAAATCGGGCTAGATCGCCCGTGGTGGAACACGTGCGACAACAGGGTCTCAGAGCACCCCGTGTCTCCCTGCTCTTCTCGCTCGCCTCTGTTGGCATCGCTCGGACGTGTGTACTTTTGCTCGTCGACGCCGGCGCCGCAAAAGCCTGGACCATCTCGTTTGGACCACGGGCGTCCGAGCGATGGCAAGCCCTGGCAGTCGCACCTCGGAGCTCCTCCCCCGCCCCGGCTCGAGCCCGGCCGAGCTGGGCGCAGCGCCGGCCGCTGGGCGCTGTGCTGGCGCGAGGGGCGTCCTGCGAGCACCCCCGGCCGGCCACGCGCAAGCGTGACCTTGTGCGTCGGAGAGACCTACGGTGCGGGCTCTCTTGGGCGTCGCGTGATGGGGGGGCCATCCAATTTGATGGGCCTGTTGTCCACCACCATCACCATAAGCTGGAGGGGGAGGGGGTCCTCCTCCTCCTCCGCCTCCACAGCCCACGCGCAAACTATTGCTGTACTTTGTGGTCATATACTCAACGAAAAACCAGCCCTTACTGACACGGGTCAAATACGAAATACAGCAAATCCATGGCTTCTTCAATTCCGACACGACCTAGAGCTTTACCGAGGTATTAGCGGCACGGAAAGCTTCTTTGAGGTCTGGAGGGACACCGATGATTCCTGGATAGAGCTATTCAAGTGCAACTCTGATGCATCTCACGAAATCTTAGCAGTAGATCCCAGTATCCTTCGGGCCGCAGTATTTACCAACTCGTCTTTGTTTGACAAGTTTTTCAACTCTGTTACGGTTCGTCAACAAGAAACACGAGCTGAGCAACATAAGTGTACTATTCTAGATGCTACAGGTACTCCGTGCGCCCTTGGGTTCCCTACGTTTCAGCAACTTATTGCAAATGGGATTCGGTCTGTCTTGAACTCAGGGGTCATTACCAACCAGTGTCCGAATTGCTGTTCACTATTCAGAGATGTGGCTAGTACTCGTCATCACTTAAAGCGAGCTTATGCCCAGGGGAGATGTCAATTGGGGAGAGCGCATATGAACTGGGATTTACAACAGCCAACCAACTTACATGTGGTCTATGCTCTGTAGCCCCTTTTGGTTCCACGAGCGAGCTCTTCACGCACATACGTACTGTTCACCTCCCACTCCCTTTGCCCGCCCTCGTGCTCTCACGAGGAGCACATCCACGTACATCTACCTGCCTGGTGGATGCCAGGCGTCTTTGGTGCGAAGGAGCAGCAAGAGGGCGGCTTTCGCCGCGAAGTGCGCCGGCGTCAACCCGACGCCGACCAGGCGAAGAAGGAGCAAGGTTTGAAGGAGGTCAAGGCGCTCAAGCACGGCGAGAAGACCATGCTCGGACTGATGTCGAGGCAAACGCTCAGGAGCGCTCAACAAATACGCGAGCTTCAAGCCGTCATTTACGACGTTTGGCTTCTGGCGGAGACTTGCCCCATCGTGCTGGCAATGCAGGAACAGACGAGCAACTACGCCGACCACGTGAAAGGCAAGAAAGACAACGACCTCGGGCCACCTCACATCTACTCACTCGGTGGAGCTCCGAAGACCTACGCCGACGTCAAGCCAGGAACGCCAGGATTTTCGATACCCGAGCCGTTGCACAAGGAGCTGAACACGGCGTTCGCGGAGTACGACAAGTGGCCGATGGAGCAGAAGTGCGACCTGGTGCTGCATTGTCGAGTGGAGAAAGTCTTCCAACGGGGCATGAAGAAGGTGGCTGTCGCGTTTCGCGACCCGCAGTTCCGCATCATGATGAACAAAGCCTTCGAGTGCACGGAGGGCGCGGTGAAGAAAGTTGGCAAGGCACCTCCGACCTTCCTCGAGCGGGAGTTGCAGGAGTGGCTCGAGGGCATGGAGAGCTAGCGGCGTCTTCTGCTTCTTCTTCCGCGGCGCCTCTCGCCTCTCTGCCGCGTTCTGGCTCTCACAGGCCGAGGTCTGTGGGATCCTTGAGAGCACCCGACGGCAGTTCGGTGGAGGATTTGGCTTGCAGTGATATTGTCTTCTGGGATGGTACTTCTCGTCGTATTCCTGCTGATGAGCGGCGCCATGCTGAAGATGCTACCCGCAGCGTTTGTCGTGAGCAGGGTAATACACCAGATCTCCCACTTCTGACGGCTCAGGCGAACCGAGCTGTTTTCAGGACTAGACCTCTGAGTTCGGAGGTCCCTCTTCCTGCACGCGCAGTTGCAGGCGCGCCTTCTCGTTTGCGTATTATTACAGACTTTCTTGCATCACGTAATGTCATGCCTGGCACGCCTATATATAGAAGCGTGTTGTCGAGTGAGCGCACATATGTTCTTGCACGAGACTGGTATAACTCTCAGTTGCACGAGGAGCTCACGGTCACAGGACCGCAGTCTCAGTGACCTTGTGTAGCATACCGTCAGTGCCGCGGGATTGAATGAATGCCTCCCACTGTCATCTCATGCGTCGACGACTGTGGGGACTTGCCCTGGGATCGACACGGTCCCGTAGGGCACAGGTCCCGTCACCTCGAGGCCCAGCCATCGAGGTAGTCCGCTAGAGCAGGCTCACCGCACCATATCCTTAGACAGGTGATCAGCACATTGTCGACGGAGCTTTTGTTGTGTAGCATGACCGTACATCGTGCACGGCCAAGTCAGACCAGGATGGCGCTCATGGTGATTCAAGGTCAAGGTCAAGGTCCTCCTCCTTCTCCTTCCCCTCCTCCTCCTCCTCCTCCTCCTCCTCCGTCTCCTCCTCCTCCTCCTTCTCTCCTTCTCCTCATCCTCCTCCTCCTCTCCTCTCCTCCTCCTCTCTCCTCCTCCTCCCTTCTCCCCTCCTCCTCCTACTCCTCCCCCTTCCTTCCTCTCCTTCTGCCTCCTCATCCCCCTTACTACCTCTCCTTCTCCTCCTTCTCCCCTCCTCCTCCTCCCTCCTCCTCTCCTCTTTCCTCTCCCTTTTCTCCTTCTCGTCCTCCTCCTCCTCGTCCTCCTCCTTCCCCCCTCCAACTTCTGGCGGCGGTGGTGGAAGACAGGCCCATCAAGTGAGGGCTGCAGGAGGGGAGCCCCTGTGGGCCGCCCCATCACGGCCCAGAAGGGGGGCCTTTCGGGCCCGCGGGGTGCATCTCTCTCTGCCCCCCCCATCGGGCGCCCCCCCACTGGGCGACGCCCGAGCTCCCAGGAGACCCTCCTCCTCCTCCTCACCCTCCTCCTTCCTCCTCCTCTCCTCCTATCTCTCCTCCTCCTCCCTCCTCCTCTCTTCCTCCGCCTCCCTCCTCTCCTCATCTCCTCCTCTTCCCATTCCTCCTCCTTATCCTCCTCCTCCTCCTTCCTCTCCTACCTCCTCCTCCTCCTCCTCTCCTCTCATCTGCCTCCTCCTCCTCCTCCTCCTCCTCATCCTCCTCCTCCTCCTCCTCCACTCCTCCTCCTCCTATACCTCCTCCTTATCCTCCTCCTCCTCCTCTTCCTCCTCCTCCTCCTCTCCTCCTCCATCTGCCCACTCGGACAACCTGACCTTGTCGGTTGCCCCAAATAACCTGGCCTGGTGCGCGCGGGCATACGTGGGGCTGCCCTAAGCGAAAAGGGTAAGGTTATCTGCGGGCCCCTCCCCCACCCCCTCCCCCAACCGGGTAGCCTCGGCCATCGCCTGAGAAATAAGTAGAGCAAACATTTCCAGGGGTCCCGTGAGCAAGGGCTCGCGCGCTTGGACAGCTCGGATTTGGCCTCCCCCGCGACCCCCTGAAGCAATGCACCAAGGGTCACTCTTGCCCAGGGTCACTCCTGCGTGCAGCCGAACCCGTCACCGCATGCGCGGAAGCCGGCTTCGGTGACCGCGGGCGGAGCACAGAGAGGAGGAACAGAAACACGGCACGCAGAGGCGGGCGAGCCGAGACAGCGGCAGTTGGCCTTCGGGAGGGG